TACTAGCCAACAATATTATAGTCTATCATTAAGTTTATAATCGCTATTAATATTTTTAGAAGTTGGATGGAAATTATGATTTTATGAACAAATGGTGATGTAGTTTAAATTTATATAAGTAATAAGTAGAATATGTAATATAATATGTTGTATAACATTTTTATTGCAAGAATAAATTGAAAAAAAATTAAAAACTCAATTTATGTATATTGTATATATTAATTTTTTAATAAACACAAATGCCCTAATCTTGATGTTTTTTGAAGGAGGGTCATCCAAGGAAAGGGGTGACAGAGTAAAAAATGAAAAAAACGAATATGGTAGATAATATGATGGATTGTTTTATGAATATAGTGAGGTAAAATGGTTTTTTTTGTAATATTCTACTTTTTTCGAAGGTGTAGCTCTAAAACGGTTGTGAATTCGAAAAAAACATACGATATAAAAGTTTTAGATAATTTCATGAGCTTTATTTTGTTATTTAAAAAAATTTTCCTCCGATGCACCGTTTACGAGATATAAGCGAAAAACCCAAAAAGCGCAACTTTAACCCCCCTCCCCCCCTCCGGCTCACCACCTAGGTGTCAGGACTTTTAGTATGTTAATACCCTAAGCCCCCCGAACAAGTTTCTGAAGGAATCGCTAAGTTACCTGCTCACGCACTCTACACCTCATTTTGGGTCATTCATTGACTGGACTAAGTACCAATACAATATTATTATTCTCGTTATTTTATCCGGCCAGGATGTTTTTCATCGACCGATGCTCTATCGGTGATGCGAGAACGCGCGAAATACATTTTAAAAAAACACACATAGGCGGGTGCAGGTCTGGTGGAAGAGGCTAATTATCGGAAATCAACGTCGGCGATTTCAAACGGATATGTACACGATTAAATGTTTAGACTTTAAGCATAATATAATATGTAGTATATAGGTAATCTTCGCATTCTCGAACTTTATCCTGTGGGGATAACGATTGTTAATATAATAATATATTGGTACCTATATACTTATAAAAACATTTGTTTTTAAATTATTTTACGCATACTTAATGTACGCCGTCTTATACCTAAAAAAACGATAAGTTATCTGAACTAACTACTCTATAATATTAATTATATTATTGTTATTACATACTAATGTATATTACCCATCAATAATTGCGAGTATAATAATTAAAGTTATTGGTAAACCGTAATAATATTATGTATATTGCGGTTATTATTGTGTGCCGTTACATATAGAAAGTCGGTAAAATTTGTTACGATTTCGTTTGAGTGTGACGCGTTTTGGAGGAGAGAAAAAAATTAATACTGCGATCGGTCGTCCATCGGATTTTATGCCGGGGGATGCTGCAAGTGGAGGCGGTATTGCGCGCGTGCGTTTGGCGTTTCTAACTGTTTTTCTCGCTTTTTCTATTTTCTTATATATAAAAATTTTCGCGCAATAAAACACGTGACGAATTTTGTTTTTGCCCACTGCAATTACAGAGGTGCATTCACTATAATAACATAATATACAATACTCCGATCCGCCGACGAGCTATAAACATTCAGCAACGTGATCATCCGTCGGATTTATTATAAAATTGATTAAGTTGCCCGGCGGCGGAGATCTCGTTTTTGTTTTTCGCTGCGAACGATTCTCCTTCTTTTTTATGTACCGAAATACTATATTATATTATATAATTTGTACAATAGTAAACCAGAATCATTTAATATCATAAGAACGCTGCGGCGACACGTCTGCACGAATTTAGGTCAAACGCGGCCACAGAATAGACCCACAGGGTCTCCCCGGACTCGGCGACATATTATAATAGGTAGGTATGTATCCACCGAGCGACGCCGACCAATTAACCCGAATAATCGATTGTCCTCCGGACGAGAAGAGAATATTATATTAAAATAATATATTATACCAACCAATAACGCGCAATAACAATATTATATCGATAAAATAACAAGTAGGTAACAACACGCGTGTAATGTGTACATTGTACATATAATTATAATTGAACGCGCAAACCACGACGATAAATTCTTGAGATTTTTCTGAAATGAACCACGCGTCCACGCCTGCTTTATAATAATTATGTCCACGAGACAATGTTTAACTCGTCCTGATCCTGATATCCCTGCAATGCATATAAATATATAATATTGCAAGAATCACCAAAATAAAAAAAATTAAATGAAAACCTCATTTAATTCAACATAAAAATTATTTTACTTGTTTCTCATCGCGGACCCGGTAAAGTTCGTCCTCGGCCCACCATTTGGTGATCCCTGTAATATAGGTTTCTAGTAGTAGAATTTAATTTTTAGGGCTACTGCTTGCACGGAATATATTGTATATATAATAGGTGTACAGTCTATACCTATATATTTATGAAATCTCTATACTTACCTATACGTTTCCGGTTATGTTATCACACAATTTTCCTTTTTATATATTATTATTATGACTGAAAAAACAATAACTCTATTTATATTTTGTTTTCTGAAAATGACCAAAAGTCGAGAGTAAAAACTATTTATATTTTTCCGCCCTAATCTTATATATTTTCGAATTACCCGTAGTCCGTACAACAAAAACAATCGGTCTGTATATATGACTCTATGCCTACACATGATAACGCAATAATGCGTATTGTATATTATATTCATTATAATGATGATGACGATGATAACAATAATAGTCTAGTCGGGGGCCGCACGGGTCATCTGGCAGGCGTTTTAACGGGAAACGTCTTTCGCGTGCAGCCGACGGACCCGAGTAAAAAAAAAGCTCTTCGGACCCGTCCGGATCGCGGCATCATCACTTATCGCGAGCGCGCGCGTGAGAGAATATTTTACTAAAAAAAAAAACAACTATACGGCATTGTTCTAATCTATATTGTACATTTGTACAATTAACTTAATTGGGCCCCCGGCATCGTTTAAAAATATTATAATATTATATTATACCTCTTTTATTTCAGAATATCCATTATCCACCACGCTACCGCTCTCTCATACACTTTAATATATATTATATATTTTATTAGGTATACATTAACATAAACTGCTGAACAATGCGTATTATAATGTCGCGATTTCGGGACGGTATATCGAGGGGAATATAATTTTACCATCTTCCGAATAATTCGGCTCGTGACGCGGTACTCAAATTAATATATAGTAATATTATAATAGAACTACCTACTACGCTATAGACACCTATAGTATAACTAAATTTAAAATTATATAAAATTTAAATAATATTAAATATTTTTAACTTTTAATAATATTTTTTCTATATAATCCAATATATAAACAATCCTTATTTATTAGGTAATATTATATTTAAGAACACATAATTTCAATAAATTATTTTAAACATCCTTGTTTTAGCTTTTTGTAAGGATAAGCTCATTTAAATCAATGATACAGGTTAGTTTTATAGTTAATCATAGAATGTAATCACAGTATATCATGGAAAGGCAAACGCCTTCTGCCATAGTGAATCGCATGTAGTGTTATTATACAGTTAGTAAAGATTTGATAGGTACCTCGTACCTATGCATTATGATTTATGAATAATGTTATTTGTTATTACGATTGTCGATTTGTATTTTTATGTTATTATATCATTATTATTATTATTAGAATTAGATAATAATCGATAACAATATACTACTTATAGTTATATTATTTTAGCCACAGTTACTTTCAGTTATTCTTTAAACCTAACTATACCTACGACTCCTTTTACCTGTATCAAACATTGATACATAAAACGGACTATGATAGCGATTAATATGCTTCAGCTTTTAAGATAAATAACTATAAGACTTTAGTTTAATATTATGCTGAATATTGGAGTACATATTACTTACTTAATAAGCTATAAGTTATACTACTAAAAAAAAACCAATCCATTACCTAGCCATGAGCATGTACATACTTCATGTAAATCTTGCGGTACTGCTGCAGTATGTCGCCACAGTTCGGTACGGTCATCAACGAAATCAAATTATATTTTCTAGGAACCAACAGTTTCTCGTAAGTACCAACATCGTTTTTCGAGGTACCTATGGCGAGAAATCATAATATTTAAAAAAAAAATACGTCATATTTTGGAATAATTAAAGTGGCGGATGTTAGTATATAGTCATCACACCACGTATACGCTTAATTAAATTTCATTTTCGAATAATTAGTAGGTAGAAAAACAAATAGGTACCACCGATTCACTACGGTCGCATTGGAGGTACAGATTGCCAGAATATAATATATAGATATACATAGTTGAACCCCGATCCAGTTACCCAACGAGTGTATATATATTATTATATTGTGTATATACGCAGTTTAGTGTGAAAACCGTGAATGCCGTTACATTAATAATAATAATAATATGATATCACACCAGTTATAGAAGACCGATCCCGGTGAAAGTTTTTTAGCGTTTACTTTCACTGACGGCCGCCGAATAATCCCAACTGTGCAGAATGCGAACAGGTGGAACAGGCGGCGACGGGCATATCATTCTGGTTTATTTTCTTCTTCTGCGGCGCGTGGAGAAAGTACCGTTATTCAATTTTCCGCCTATATATTATGGGGACCCGACTACAACGCCGTTTATACAATTATTATTAAAAGCGGTTTACCTAATATACTGTTTTTTTGAGTGCCCTTGGGACATTTTCTCCGCCAGCAGTACAGCAAAAACAATAGAAATGCACAAAATTCATAAATTTCCACTAAACAAGATACTGTGACATCTCCTTAAATATGCATATTCAATATTGTCTTATAATATTTACACTGAGCGCGATTTGTTATTGCCGTCGTCGTCTCTTCGCACCCGAACTGAAGAAGCCTTTATCGTTTCCTGGTGGATTTATTTTGTTTATTCGTCCCAAATTTAAAGTTAAAACATCGCACGTACACGTAAAAATATAGTATATACATTTATTAAAAATCATCACACTGCGTTGAAAAATGTCGTCGTTCAAACGAGACATTTGGCCACTAAAACGATCTGCTCTCCACGCACCAAAAATCGGGGAACGTGCCTCCGGCACACTTGGTGTCCTCGAATCCTCTTGATGACTGTGTACGGCTTCTCCACCGGATCGTCCAAACTTCTAGCGTCACCTGTACGGGGTAAAAAAAACCATTATTGTTATTATATAACGCGATATACAATTATAGTAAAAAAAAAATTCACAATAAAATCCATCCCGCAATAGGTTTTCGCTGTCGTTTTAAAACGATATACCTTATGCAATATCAAAATGTATCGAGCAAAAAAAAACAAACGGGCGTACACGATACAGGTAGGAAAAAAACCACCTACAGTCGTTAAGGTCGACTACTGCATAAACTGGATACGAATATACTACGACTGCAGCGTATAATATGTAATTAAAACAAAACTGTCCAGCCAACACTGTCAAGGTATTCCGCGGAAGGTTAGCGATTGCGGCCCTCAACGCGGTGGAGTCGTTGCGAAAACGATTATAATAAACTTGCTATTTACGTATACCTACTAATATACGAACGCGGGGCATTTGCGAGCCAAAGCAAAATAATAATACTAATACTATGATAATATCATTTCACCCGTGAAATTGTTCCTAAAAAAAATTGTTGGCCGGGCAAACAGTTTTGAAATATTATAATATACCTAATTTAATATGTAACGTAATGCGCGAGACGACAAAGCCGCCGCACGTCGTCGTCGCCCGTAACCTACGCACTGTGTCAAGGTCGACGAAGGATTTCTAGAAATCGCGTGTGCGTTGCACACACACACACAACAACAAAAATAATAAAAACATCACAAAAATAAACTCAAATATAGGTGTACACCCGGCTCATGCATACTGTATATTATTATTATTGTATCATAGCGGTGGTATATACAACTATACAGGGTAGTCACTGTGTTTTCACGTTTTTTTTCATTTATTTAACACAGGAAAACTGGATGGGCCACTCTGTATAATAGTATGTATGCGTATGGTGTTGTTTTATTCGCGATTCCACGGCGGTGTACACTGCAAATAAACACCGCGTTACAATAATAATATAACCGCCGACGTAGCATTCCAAAATATTAGATTCAATAGGTGGCAATTTTAAAAACAATAAAAAAAAAACTGTCGGTACGCATAAGACATTAGTTTCATAAGTGGTGTAATAAAGCGATTCCAAAGAGTTAAAAAAATGCCATTTAAAAACGATTGCAATTATTTTCACCGCTCTGAAAGGAGGATATCTAGCCGACGGAGATGCGCGGATTCTCTAGTACTTAAGCGATACTAATATTATTTATTATTATTTTATATTTAATATAATATAGTGTTGACGATGTATGGAGGAGACATTAATATTGGGCTGTTCTCTAAACCCGCACATAATAATATAGTATTAAGTATATAGTATATATATACAGTATAATATATAGTAAATTTGGTTTTAAGTAAAAAAAAAATGTTCGATTAGCGTGTTAAATAATATACCTAAGCCAGCGAAATCGTGTAATTAAATTATAAATTTATTATTCGTTTTAGATAATTATGTGTAGTGTGTACATAATATGTACTAAACTGTTTTAAATAATTTGATAACTTTTTATAATATACTCGGCACCGCTACAAATTATATTTCGAACTATAGCAGTATAGCCGCTATTTCAGTACCTAGTAATAGTCGCTATATTCTTAAATCTAAAGTCAGCGATTATTATAATATTATGTTTATGTAGGTACACTATACCATCGTCAAGTAGTATAACGTTTACGTATATGCTTTGAAGAGAATTTAAAATCTGCAGCCTTAATCGTATATATATAACCTCTGACCCAATGGCGGACCCTCCTCCTCCTAGTATAAACATTATTGAACCATATTTGAGTATCAAAGTAACAAGTGACACATTTTTAATTTTTTTATTAATCGTAGTACTTATTATGTATTATTTATTTTTATTACTATTATTAATATACTCACGTCATCCAAATAATAATTTTTAATTATTAATATTAATTATTACCTACCTATGGGTACAAAAAAATAAATATAAAATATTATCCACCTCAGGGAAAATGTATAGTTACGCTACTGATCCAACCTACATCCTATATTTAGGTAGTTATACATAATGGTGAGTAAACGTGGTTCAACGTCGTTTTATATTATGTACAAAACAATAATATTATAATATAACGGCCAAAGCGAGGGCCGCTGCACGTGGCGCGCATAAGTCACAACAATCATTATTATTATTATTGATATCACTATTTATTCGAAACCTCTTCCCGCACCACACCACCATAGTATTTGGCCTAGATAATATTCATAAGTAGTTTTCGCGAACACAAATACGGAATATCTTACCGGAAATCGGCGGAGTGCTTATAATAAATACATAATGATAATATTATATATTACTATAATACTATATATATATATATATATATATATATATATATATATAATATACGTATAACATCAGCTGCAGCTACCTTGTAGATACCGTGCGGTTAAGCGTATAATGATATGATATTTGAGCTGATACAATCGGGAACGATCGTATATTATAGAGTCGTCTTGCTTGCATATCGTCAATGTTAACGACGTTCTGCGAACGGGTTCGAGCCCCGCGGGCCGCGCTTATACTTATAACCTTCAAGTTCAATAGCGCACAAAACCCACATTATAATCGTCCACGCTCGCCGTCATCGAACACTACATTTCTGAATTTTTTACGTATATTATGCACGCGCACAATAATTGTACCCACCCATACCAGCGGACAAACGCATATTTATTTCACATACGCAGCGGAGAAACTGTGTTTCCGACACAAGCTTGCGGACATTGAAACTGAAATCTCGTTTCGATATTAGGTATTACTATTTATTTTTATAATATGAAAAATACAACCGTATCTTGGCATGCGCGCGAGTGCCTACTGCCTATAATGTGAAAGGTGATAATATTTCGAAAAAATTACTTTTTTAACTTAAAAATCAAAATTTAAATTGCCATGAAAATATTTACATTCAACCATTTCGCACGGTTGTCCTTAATTATTTTATTTTTTTATCGAATACTTTACTTGTTATAAAATAACATTCAAATTTATAACAAAACTTATTTTTAAAAAAAACATTTTAATTACAATAATGAATATTTTCCACATTACAGAAAGCATGTGTTGGTGAGTAGAGTTATAAAGTTTAAATTAAATAATCTTTAAGACTATAAATGTATAGTTTATTTTATTTTATCATCAGTCATCACTTATATACATTCATAATAATATGTAAAATAAATACCAATATTATATTAGATGTACCTACCTAAGTAATTATTTATAAGCATTAAAGTTATTAATAAATAATAATTAATAGCATTGGTTCAATATTCAATTTATTTACGCACTTTCAGAAAATATTCTCTATTTTAATACCTAATATGAAATAAAAAATATGTTGCTGTTATAAAAAGAGTGAAAAAATCGACTTGATAAAAAATAAAATTAACAAATAATGTTTTGCTGACCATATGCTTATAAAATTTTTGTAATACAATATCAATTGAATGTCGTTAACAACTACACACAACTTATATATATATATTATATACACAATAATAACTGTAAAAAAACTAAATGTGTACATTACACGCAGGATATAGATGATTTTAAACCTTTCAAACGCAGTAATTATGTCAACCTACTCAGATTGAAAATGTGGTGTCGTACATTACCATTGTTTTTTTTAGAATGTGAACAGTGAACATATTTTAACAACATTTTCAAGCCAATAAATCCTACTTAAATAACATACCTACTGAATTAGTATTATTATTAATTATTAAATATTATTAAAAGAATTTAATTCACTTGATCATTCGAGCAAGTGCAAGTCATCAATGTTAATGGTAATGTTTAAAGCATTCTATTTTCAGTCCCATTCTATTAAACTGCCAAAAGGTTAAACAATCGACTCAATTGAAATGCACTATGTAGATAAAGGCAACCAGTACACATATAATAAATTATAAATAATGCATTATACATTTATACCCTAGTAGAGTTCTGTAATGGTAATTTTATATTTTTTTGTTGGCAACTCAATAGGGCAGTGATCCGAATTTAGGTGAACAAGTTAATACATTTATAATTTATACTGCTTATAAGTAAACAAACATTTATTGATAACTTTTATAATATACATTACCTCCTATATGGTGATTTATAATTCATAGGAATTATATAAGCAAATGTAAAATTGCAGAATATCATAATGTTAGTAAATGTATATGATATATGAAACACAAATTGATTTTTCATACAATAACAATATAAATAAAATATTTTGTTATTACTTCACAAAATTTTAACTTTAAAGATATTATACCACTCTCTTACATGAATACATATAGTAGCTGGTAGGTGTGCATTAAATTCTACCTTACTATCTACCTTTCTTGCAATGTCCAGTTAAAGTTAATCGACACTTAACCGGCCGAATTCTGCTGGTAATAAGATCTGTTATCAGTCGGTTAGCACACTTTACCGGACATTGTAAGAATGGCCCTGATTCATATAACATTACCATCAACATCTTATTATAAGGTACTAATCATTTGAGGTTCATATTTTAAATCTTAGTTATTTCTGTTATTATGCATTTCAGTTTGAGAAATAATTTTTTGCCACAATTTAACATTTAGTTGGTTATTAGAAGTTACACATTAAATATTAATATGATAATGAATATTAATTTTACTAAATTCAGATATAAAAGGTTCAATATTCAGTATAAAGTATAACCAAGACTAATTTAAGCATTAACATTGGAATGTATAATGCTGGTAGGTAATATACAAAAGATAACCTTACCAATAGCTAATGATTTGTATTTGTTTTTCCTTGTCCATACTTCATCTACATCATCCATGACTAAGTTCCAGTGTTTATCAAAAGCAATAATGTACCCTTCACAGTGACCTCGGACAGACACAGCCGACCGTATGTACACTTTAACACGTTTTTTTGCAAAACAAAACAGAGCAATGCGAGATAGTGGCCCACGAGATTTGCCAATTTCTGACATACGTGCCATTACAGTTCGTCTCTTTTTAAAAATCCGTTGAACTAATGATACTTGAGATGTGCCGGCCACTAAAACAAGCTGTCTGCAGTATTTTATAATTATTGATATTTAGCAAGAACTTACCAGCACTTAAATCGCGTTTCACCGTTTCAATGTTATATTCATTGTGTGTCTGTAAAATACAGGTGTTAAAAAGAATATAGATTTGTTATGAAGTATGCAATTTAAAATTACTCTGGGTCTTTCAGGTTTAATTAAGACTTCTCCTGAAGGAGCGAGTTCAAATTTTGATATGTTGTCTAGCGGTTGAGCTGTTGTGCTAGGCACCGGTACGTTTTTTGCGTACAGAGCTTTGATTGGATTGAACGAGGGCGACAACATGTCCAATTCTTCGTCGGTGCTAGACGACATTGCATATCAGTCTGACAACAAGCCATGTGATGATTAACATTCATAACATTATTAACATTTATCTAAAGAGACATTGTGTTGTGTTGATGTGTAAACCGTAAAGAGCTGGTCACCGTTGAGAGTATGTAAAACTATTTACTTACCGGCTGTACAGGAACAATAAGACTTCAAATATTTCAAACCGCAATTTATTGTTGACAGAAACACAATATTATTACGAATTCGTTTGTGTAACAATTTCAAAAGAATAAAAATTACAAACGATACAAAAGTATTCACTTTTTTAACAGACCAATGATAGGTGATAAGTGATAACAGTGATAACGAATAACGATATGGGAAATAAAAACACGACCGACGTATTTTGGCGGGACACCGGGAGCGAGATCTACACGGCGCGTTCGGTACTTCAGTCTCACGCGGATGTCCGTCGATGACGGGCCGTTAGAGCACGTTATCGTAATAGGAAACTATATTTACCTACGTTTTTTTTCTCGTTTTAGAATTTGAAAATGTACTTGAAAGAAAAATGGAAACGAATCTCCGTGAGCAGACAATGAACCACAACGCAAGTGGAGCATCGCATAAGGTGAGAAACTGTTTATTTTTAACATTTTATACCACAAAAGTACCTGTACCTAGTATAGGATTTTAAACAATAATAATTAATTTCACTAAACCTTATTATAATAATAATATGTTTTACGATTCATACCGGTATATTACAAAACTATTCGTATAGCCATAGGTAGGTACTATTCTAGATATACATAACAAAAGATAAACATAATAAAGATATACATTGTGCCCATATAACTTTATAACATCTGATCGTTTTTGGTCGATCTGTACTCTGTGCCGTTCTCGAATTCAATAATATGTTTCTAGTGATGTTTTTCATCTGCAAGGGTTCTTTGAAAAATTGGCAAACAAATCGTAATAATATAATATTATCGTTACTTATTGCGAAATATTTAGGTAGGTACCTATGTAAATGTTGATAATTTATTGTATTCACGTAAGACCGTAAACTCGAATATTAATTAAACCGCTATTGCCTATTAATGTACGTTTATAATATTAGTCTATAATTCGTGTTTCGCAAATAATTGTTTTAAACGTGGGTATAGATATAAATATTATAATATTGAAATATAATATTAGCCTTGAAATGTTTTACGAAAGAAAATATTAAACATTTAAAAAAAAAACACGTTTTAAACACACCGACCCTGTCAATTATCATGATCGTATTTTTTAAAGGGATATTTCTGGCAAACTTCAATACACGCTAATTACAATATTGTCCTGCCGTTTGATTGGTTCACGGATTTTCTATTCTTGGCTTACATCCACGCGTACCTATTTCATTGAAATTTAATAAATTATGAAAGATTTGTGTCAAATAATTATCACCGATACAACTACAATATAAACGGTTAGTATGAATTACAATGTGGTTATTATTTAAAAAAAAAATTATAAATTACGATATCAATCTAACGAATGATTGTTTAAATTCAACAAACAATATTTCGAAGATAAAACAATTATTTTTCGAAAGTGGTGCCTAATATCTTGTTCCTATACTTAATGTTAATATATGTATTTTTTTTAATTACGTGAAAGTATTAAGTGATAAATTACTGTCGTATAAGATTCAAACATATTTTATACATGCAAAATAAAAAATCATGGCTGTATTAATCGACTACGAAAATGTCATGATACCGGTTTCAATATAAAAAAAAACTGACTACTTATAATACTATAGGTATATAAATAACTAATAAGCTGAACGATAGGCATAGGCATATCGTATAGTGTGTGTTATAATATAATATATAAATAATGAATAATATATTATATTACAAAATATATATTATGATAATGTAAGGAAACATCTATTCTTGAAATTTGAAATGCTCGTGAGGATAGTTCATTTTCTTATTAAATATATTTTAAAACTATAGAAGTCCATCTTGTAGGTATATGAGTTTGACTATTGAATATTGATATAAATACTGTTTCTCATTTGATAATTACGCAATTTTCATTATTTCTTAGCAATTTAAGGACGAATAATTAGTTGGTGGTCCCTTCTTAGCTTTTTATCAATTTAAGACATTAAGTTCAAATTTTTGAAAATATTGCAAATGAGTAGGTACCTATTGACTACAATTAATTCAACTATAGCGTAGGTAAATCTATAATAGTCTTTTTTCAAATTCCTTATTATTGTCTATCGACGTAGTTTATCCATTATATTCATGATATTACTTAATAAAAACCGCATAAAGTCCTTAATTACCAACCATTTTCTAACATATTCTCTGCGCAGTAAAACTTCAAGCCAATATACGTATAGAGAATAATGGAATATAATATTTTATTATTTGAAAAAAAATCAAGCGGGTCCAAGGTTACATATATAAATATATTATTCTCATCACTATATTTTAAGTATATTGAGTTGTTAACTTCGGAATTATGCAAATCAGTAATTAATTTACTGGAAGCATAACAAAGTTTACCTAATATGACTTTATTATTTCAATTAAATAATTCATTGTTAGATGGGATTTTTTTAAACATTTTCTAGATTATATAATAACGTGTGTGCCGTATGGCTTATTAGTAGTACCTAGCCGAGGACGCTCAAACGCAAACGTGTTAATGTTCCTAAATTTTATATAGTTGTAGTAGATATTGATATGGTAATCTTCCAAGGTAAACGGCTGTATACTCAATGGTCTAAATCGTGTAGGTAGTTAAAACAAAAACCAAATTTTAATACGCATTAATGAATACTCTAAGGTACTTTTGATAATTTCACTAGAAAGCGAATCATTTTAAAATTAATAAGACCAATTTTTATTATTAGGTTATATTACTCATAATAACTTCCAAAAACTATATACATACTATATAGGTAATATTTAAAAAACCCTTTTTTTAAAATTCAAAAATTTGTTTGCAATTATTAATTATTTTTATAATATATGTTTCATAGACCGGCATTTTACTTAATTATATAAATTTGTTCATAGACTGTCTGTCTTTTTCAAGATTTTAATCAACGTTTGTGTTGGCCTTTTATATTGTCAAGTTGATCAAACAATTGCAGTTTTATTTTAAAACTATGAAACATGTTTTGGAGTTAACAAATTGACCGTTACTGCATTATTCATTTTTTTTTATTTCCTGTTGTTATTAAAATTATAAATACTGCAGTGTGCCAAACATGTTCAATATTTATACTATGTATAAAAGCATTGTAAAAAAATTATCCAAAACGAAACTGCCTATAATATTTAGTATTATATAATAGACGTTAGAAAACGAGAAATATATCTTTGAAATATTTTATTGCTACACACATCCATCTACCTTTATAAAACATCAGATTGTTTATAAATTTCATCTTTTTTTATAAATAATTTAATTGTTTACAAAATATGTAATAGTAAATGAATGTTACTATCCATTAGTTGATCTGTTATATTACCTATGCATACTATGGATTTTGTAGGTATATATATTTTATTAAAATAATATTTATAAATAATCTAGTGGATAAAAACATTCGAAAGTCAATGGTTTTTTAAAAATATTATTGTTACTTAGTACATAATTGTTAGTATCGTCGTCATTGTACAATTAAAGTATTTATAAACTGTTCCAGTACAATATCGATATTTATCATCCAATTTAGTTGGTTCATCACATACTGCTTGTTTGAATATATTGTAATTTAAATTATAGATATCAAAGAAGCGTGGGTCCACGACTCATTAATTGTCATCCTGGCTTTTGTGAAACCCACACCTCCCGGCCCGCCACTGGCCACTGGTGTAGTGGTTGCTGGAAGGACATCGGCCATCTCAGGTTCAGTTATGCCTTTCATGGACGATGTGTTACTCTGGTGTCCAGAGGCCGAGACTAAAATTGATGATTTTACAGAATGTCTTGTAAGTAGTTGAACTCCATTGTAAGGATATATCTGATGACATGACCAATATGTTAGCTAAACTTCCATGTTCGTTTTAGGGTAACGAAGTTTCCAGTCTCGGTGAACTACTCCAATCGGAGATATCCAGTGAATTAGACAACGCTTTAGACGGAGGAGGAGGAGCGAGTGTCCAGGATGGCGGTGAACACTCTGGCGATGATGACATTTTCAAGCAGCTGTCCGACTCGTCTGCGTTACTTGAACAGTTTTTCGATTTTGTTAATTGTGATATAAAGGTAAACAGCCTGATTAGTTTGACTGTATTAAATTCAAAGTGGAGAGAAAAGGTTCAATCGGTTAAATATTCGATCATGTATCAATAAATCATTAACGATTTTTGATTTAATTTAATAAATATTTTATTCTTTAACTTTGTAATAATTTGAATGTGCTCTATAATATTCCCACTATTTTTGTTTTTCGCTATTATTATTATTATTCAATCAAACTGTATTTAATACTTGGGAATTTGTGAAATTGCCTATATTTACTCCTTATTTTAAACTCATAATATTATATTATTATTTTAAATAATAAAATAAAACATATTAGTATCTAAATATTCAAAAAAATAAAATTTTAATTTTCTTATTGGAAATCATAAGTGATTATTTAAATAATTTTTTGTCAGCACAATTAATGATGTATAAAAATTAAAACTAAAATTATTATTTTTCGTGTATTTTAAATTGCCTAAACCCGACGCCCAACTATTAAATAACATTTTTTGTAATAATAATAATAAATAATATTTTTTGTTAAAATCCATATCAATTAGGTAAAACACTTCTAACTTTATAAGTGTAACCATATTCTTCACATTAAAAAGATTAACAAATCTTATCTTTTGAATATTATTATTTATTTATTTATTTATACAAAAAAAAATAAAAATAAAACATTTACAATTAATATCAATATAACATCACTGACCACAGTGTCATACCCACATGTCTTGTCTCCATCTTAGAGTAAAGCAAAATTGAGTTCAGCAGGACCAATTTTTTGTAGTAAACTTTAATATAAGATATAATCTTAAACTTAAAGGTAAGATAATTTGTGTTTTAGGTCTGGTTTTTATGATATTTCAACTATTTGTAAGAAAGTTATGAGTATGTATAAAATGTAAAATATTAAAATTAAAAATGCTCAGTGCTTAAAAATTGGATATTGTAAAAGGCTGACTTACAAACAAATAATATTTCTACCCTTAAGTTTAATAATAGGTCAACCTACTCTAAATTATAGCTAACAAATGTATTATGCTGTACAATACAATACACGTGTGGGTATTTAGTCTTCTGTTAAACAATATGGTTATTTTAAAACAATATGATTTATCTTCACTCCTCTTTGTTAACATTTGACAACATAATTTCTTGTATCAAATCATCTAGCTTTTTTATTTAACCACTTTTAAATTGTAAAATTTAGAACCATATATTATTTTTTGCCTTAAAATGCTCTAATTAATAAAACAAATTAAAAAAAACCATTTTTATTTATGTTTATGTTATAAAACATATTTTTAATTTTACAGGAAGAAAATAACAATAATGTTATGTCAACGGGTAACAAAAACCATGCTGCTGTTGCATTACTCCAAGAACTGCAACGCACAAATGCTGGCAAGAAATTCAACATTACCTCTGCAAATCCTTTGCTTGCAGGTACATACATACATTCTCTTGTATAAGATTATGTGATATGTACCCATAAATTAGAATGAGACATTTTTATAAAGAAAAATTCAAATCTACAGTCTGAAACATACAATATTTCTGCCTGTAAATGTATCAAACCACTAAACAATTTGCTCATATTAGTAATTTAATCTATTGTTTAAATTTTTGGTGGAGTCTTATGTTTAAACTTATATGACTGTCCCCCAAAAAACATATTTTATAGTTTAAAAAAAGTTTAGTTTGAACGATATAGAAAATACCTATACAAGAATACAAAGAACTATATAATATGGTTATAAATTATAATAAAACTTAGTCAACATTTGTGTATGCTTACTTATACAAATAATAACACTATAATAGCATACCTACATCTAATAGTTATTAAGTAAACATAATTGTTATATAACAATACCCTACACGGAATTATTATTTTTGTTTTGTTTGGATCAATATATGGACAGATTTATAATGGGTTCAATATCCTAAAATACTTACCTATCTATCAAAACAGTCAACTTTGAACTTGGCATATCTTTCATAATAGCATGTCGTAATCATTGTTAAATTGTTAACAACCTGCTATTAATTTAGTAATAATGGGGGAAACTTCATTATATATTATATATTAACCATATAAATATGAGTACCAATTTAATTGCATAGATAGGTAGGTATTACAATTATAATACCTATTACTATAGTAAAAAAAAAAAAATTACAATTTTAAACATTCTTTAAGTGCTCAATTTTTTTTAAAAATTAAACACAACTTTTTATAATACTTATATACCTATTTAAAAACTATTTAACATTGTTCAATTTCAAAACATTAATCTACAAAATATCAGGTTTAAGTGTATACATAGCTAACTTATATAATATATTAATGATAGGTTATTATATTTTTTATATTGGGCTTCCCCACCATTTCAACCTGCATTTATCCAGATTCTAATTTTTGAGATTCTTAAGTATACTTAAAGACAATATTTTTAAATACCTAACTACTAAGATTTGTATACTATTTATAACAATAACCTCGAGTTGTGTCCCAAATTTCAAAAACTGAATGAATTGGGTCCAGATTCCAGAAGTATTTTATCGAGTACTAGTTGGGTCCAGCTTACCCAGGAGAAACCCCCCCCCCCCTGTGTAGATTGGCTAGAAAGTCTATTAAACATTTTGTATTTTGTTACTTACCTAAAGGTTATGATACGGACTGATGTACACAATTATTAAAATATTAAACTAACTTAATTTTAGCTTAAAATGTTTTGTTTTTTTCTTTTTATTGTTGATATTTTCATTACGTTATAGTTTAAATTAATGAAGAAATTTAAAAGACACATCTTACAAAACTTAACCAAGTCAGTTGTCCACTGGTAAAACAAAGCAATTTGTCTCTTAAATATTTTTGTTTTTTTATTGTTTTTTCGGCTGTGTTTCTGAGCCCTGAAGTTATTATAACAATAACATATTGTATATTAATATGTAAATTCCAATCTAAATTCAAAATAACATTTTTATTGAACAACAATTCCTGGGTGAACTGCACCAAAACTTGCATTTAATTTTACATGAAAACATTCACACCTATTTGTGGTTGCAGTTAATTCAGCCCAAATATTAGTAAGAAATAATGCATTTTGCTCAATATATATTGCAGGAGGTAATCATTAAATTTATATAATTTATTTATTAAAATATTATTGCGAACCCGATTCAAGTACTATTAAATAACACCATGAACCCAACTACTGTTTAATTAAAGCGATCCAACATCTCGTGACCAAACTTAAGGTTTCCCATTTACAGGGTGTCATGCATTTACACAAAGTATTTTCTTTTTTAATAATAACAGCTCTTTTCTACTGTGATTTGTAGAGCAGATTTTGTAATTTAACAGATTCTAAATATGTTTGATTAGTGATTACTTACCTATTTTTTTTATTAAATTTTATGTTCCAAGGATATTAGACCTAACTCCTAAGTTATGGTTTTAAACAAAATATAAAATATGTGCAATATTTAGACTAGGTATACCACTATATTACTATACTTGGACAATTTTTACAAATAATCACATTTATAATAGTTAGATTAATAATTAATGTTATTCACGACAACTTTCAAACCCCCATAATATACAATTCTAATATTATATTTGATAAAAGGACTATTGCAATGCTTGGTGTCTGTTAGTAAAATAATTCAGCAAATACTTGTTCAAATTTTGATTTTTATCTGATACCTACATAATCATTTAAAAAGAAATAGGAAGACACACAGGAAAAAAGAAGTATGTATCATTACAGTACATTTCTAAAATAGTATAAAAATCTAAGTAGGTATATGAAAATAGGGACAGATGAGAATTTTAATCGCATATAATTATACATATTGCTTACATAATTGTACACTACAATATTAATATTATCATATTTTATATTATGCTAAAAATGAAAAAAAGGGGGTTACACATCGGTATAGGTAGATTTTTATTTTATAAATAAAGTATTTTTGAGTAAATACAAATAGTTATTTATATTTCTTATTTTCTTAATTAGGTTCTATAAACTAAATTAAAAATAGGATAATTTATAAATACTCGATAGCTACCTTTTGGCTTTAATTTAAGTAGTAGTATAATTATAATTATTTATTGTGTGGTTTGAAATAATTACATTTTACAGAGACAGTTGTTGAAAAAAATTTTAGTTAATATGATAATTAATATTATATTTTAAACCAAATTAATATTTGTATTGTTCTATGATTTAGAAAAACTTTTGAATCCTGTGTCTCAGTTAAATCCAAGTTTAAACCAAAATTCAGATATGTTCATCAATCAAAACAAGTACATCAAGACAGAACCTTCGATAAATGATACAGGTAGGTACATTTTATTATAAGTTATAAATGATTGAATGATTGTCTCAATCAGTGAGGATTTAATAGTTAAAAGTTAGTCAGCAAACTTATGGGAAGGGCCTTATTGCCTTTTCAATAAGTGTAATTATTTTTGTATAATTTGTTTGTGTGCAAGCAGGCACTATAGGTACCTACCTACTTTTAATTAACTCTTGAAGTTTTGAAGTCCTAAAGTCCTACCAAATCCTCTGTTAGGGACTTAACTGTTAAATTTGATGATGATCTCAATGGATTTATTAAATCCTAATAATATAAAATTATAAATATATTAGAAAACAATAATAACATTGACTACCTACCTAACATAATACCAATAACTTTTGAATATTTGATTAGATAAAAGTTAGTCATAATTCTAAACAATTTTAATTTTACTTAGTAATGAAGTATAGATAGCGCTAGCTGTTCTAAAAATGTATTTCAAATATGTAAAATATTCCAAAATTATGTATAAATGTTTTTTTAAAACTCCCTTTGGTTTGACTTATCAATTTATGCGTTGAATTTTTTTAATTATCTTAAGCCCTGTAAGGTAGTTCAATATATTTGAAGCATTGTTCATTATTATTAACACTAAATAAATGTCATAGTTCATCAGCAGCGTAGACACTAGTCATGATTAATAGGTACCCTGGAAGGGTCTTTATTTTATATTTATTTATATTACATTATTTATATTATTTATATTATTATATTACATTTATTTCTAACATAAAATAGTTCTCGAACTTAAAATAATATTATTTACATAATAAATTTAAATTCTGAAAAGTTAAAGGTATTTTAAAAATGTTAAAATTTTTTCTATTTCTATTAAATTTTAGGTTAGGTTGGGTATAATGGAAAAAAACTTACCCTTAGAAATATTATCACGATTCAATTTTAAAATAGGTATTTTTACTTTAAAACCAAAATTGAACGAGTTCTACTCAGATTGCATAAACGCGTTTAGTCTTGTCTTACATGTGTAATACGGAGACAACACATGCGGGTGTGACATCCTCTTAATTAATTATACTAATTCGTGGTTAAATATAATAGAAAATTACTTCAATGTTTTTGTTTAAAATCAATATTAATATTATTAATTCCAAATGCAGATTCAATTGGCAGTTTAGTTATAACTTATAGTACATTGGTGGCAATTAAACAAGATTTAATTTAACAATTAATATCTGATTGGGTAGGTCGGCTTTAATAATTGTTATACACAATCAGTTACCGATTACATTCAATTCAATAAAGCATTTAAAAATGTTCAAAAAACATATATTTGTCAGAAGTCTTCTATACACAGATCACAATACACTCAAAAATCCAGAGTAGGTATATAATATCTTATACCTATGTTATATTTAAAGTACTTACATATTTTTAGTTTTAACGTTAGATCCATACAATTTTATTTCGTTAGTTTAATACAGTTAACATCTCGTTTTCAATAATACTTGTATTTCTTATTTGAATCAACACAGCTGCATAATATATTAATATCGGCCCTCAATCCTCATATTGAAAATAAATATCGAATGTTGTATTTTTACATGGTTCAAACTTTTTAGATAATTATTATATGACAACAATTTCTTACCTATTCTTATCACAGAATTATAGTTTAGGTATAGGTACTATTATAAGTAATAGGGTTCGTATTAAAAATGATAATATAATACAAATACCCCTTTTTGGCAGTGCATTTTTATTTCATATTTAATATAATATAATATAATATAGGTAGGCAGTGTAATAGCGTACCTTCTACCCAGTCCTGTAAAGTATTTGAGTAAAAGTATTTGAGTAAAAGTATTCAAATACTTTTTTAAGTATTGAATAACTTTTTAAATACTTTCAGCATGAAGTATTTTGAATGGTATTTTAAATACTTTTTTTTGTATTAAATACTTTTTGGTATTGAATACTTTGGTTTTTTATTTCGAACATTTTATTTTTATTCGAAATAATTTTAGAAATTTTAGAATAAATTAAGAACACAAAATAGGTAGTATCACCAATGGGTAGTTTCTTCCCTCAAAATATCAATCATACGCAAATACCCTATGCACATTTGCTTATTGTTCTAGTTAAGAACAGATTGTAAATTTCATGTAAAAAAAAAAAAAAATGTAATAAAAATGATTATAAATTTACTACCTATGTGTCTATATTACAATAATTAGAAACCCACTTTAAAAACCAAAAGTATTTGAAAAGTATTCCAAATACTTTTTCAAAGTATTTGAGTAGTATTTTAAATACTATACAATTTAAGTATTTGAGTAGTATCTTAAATACTTAAACAAAAATGTATTTGAGTACTTACTCAAGTACTTTTCAAAAGTATTCTTTACAGGACTGCTTCTACCAGTGAACCCTTTTAAAAATATTGTAAAATGTGTAAGTGTCCATTATTAATATTAAAAGAAGACACGAAATATTTGAAAAATAAATCTTTTTGGTCGGTATCAAAATATTATAATAAATAATAATAATACCAACAGTCAATTATTGTACTAGGTACATATTATATACATTTATGATATAATATGTTTATAAAAAGGTGGGCTGGAAGCCCCGAGGCATGAAAATATAACGTTCTCTTAATCACTCATTATAATTTATATTATTATCATCTCTATTTCTATATATTATATATACTCCCTCCACTGTTGCACATACTTAATCGTTTAGATATCGAAAATTACAGTCTTTAAATAAAAACCAGTATAATACGCTATGCATTTCTGGGATGGGTCTGAACTAAAACTATGTGGTTTTTGACGAGCGTTTCGAAAAATAACATAATGTTTTTAAGTTTAAACATAATTTATAAAATAATATTATGCATCATCATTCACAATTTATTATCACTACTAAGTAGCCGGCACGCGCGTCGCGCAACAGTCATCTGGTGCATCATTATACGAGGTACCTATAGGCTATAACTATTACAATATTACCAATGAGTTCATTATGAGTTTCGACAAACCCGTTGGCCAAGTTTGATAATGCGCTTGGCTTTTTATACATTTGTTAGGTATGTAAACTTATATAATATATATTTTATACTATTATATTAAAACATCTAGCATTCAAATATGAAACACATTTGTTTTAAATTATACATAAAGTAATCATATATTTGAATATTTCATACTAAATTATTATTAGAATACTCGTAAATTAGACATACATATTTATTGAGTTCTTAATTACTTCTTAATTCAATTTATGTATGATTGAGTGTTAAGTAACGATAATAATTTAAGAAACATTTCTTCCCTTACATTTTTATTATGATTTTATTGACACAAATTATTTTAATACTAAATAGGACGCATAGGTACAATATAAATATGGTGCACACATATTATATTTATTGATATTTTATTATCCAAGAAATCCTATTAGATCACAATTGAATTATTTATTTCACTGGCCAATTTAAGAACATTTTCTGAATAAATGTGTGACTGAAATTTGTGTGTGCAGTTCAATAAATGAAGAAGGTACATATCCTTGATTAAAATAAATGTCAGTAAACTTTGTGCGGTCATCGCTTGAAAAATATTTAATGAATCACCAACCGAAACAACAGATGTGATTAACATTGACTCGAAAAAATACTCGACGATCGCATAATATAATACCTAGAAATTGTTTACAATTATTTTCAGTTTATTCCGTTTTTTTCAGTCCAAGTCTTTCTAAAAGGTTTGAAGCTATATAAATGATATAATTCATTACGAGAGATTTCGTTGGAATTCGGGAAAAAATCTAGCGACGAGACTCACGTAATACTGTCCATTATTATATTATAACGCGTAAGGATTCGATCCAAATGAGGTGTCCGGATTGCAAAATTCTTCTGCGCGCGCTGCAGCTCTTTGTCAGCTACAAACATCGTACTATATAGGTACGCGCGCAGCCATTCACCGGAACTCGCGGAGCGCGGGATCCGGCGCTAACGATTTTTCGTCCGGCTTCCAATGATAATAATATTATACGTCCGGAATGTCTCTCTCGCCGTGTATCATACACGCGCCGCCTTCTTAACAATATAATACTGTCTATAATATTAACAATAATAATAATATTACTATTATATCATTATATTCTATGCTCACGAAAAACATATAGGCGATACGTCGTATTCTATACTTATATTTATGTACCTGCAGATACCTAGCTGCTGCATATACAGTCCACTGGACGTCTGGGCCGAGTGTGTTGAAAATGTGCAATGCGCTTATATTTTTCGTACCCGTTCGTCGCCTTCACAGTTCATTCATCTTGAATTTTCTATGTGCAATATAATATACGCTGCGTATAAGAATAGTGGCGTCCGCATCAGGTTTAATTAGCGAGTAATTCGCCTCGGGGACGGAATCCATTTCAATCGGGTGGACACAATAGGGACTCCAGCGGACAATGGGTTTCGTTCGATTTCGATTTGCCGCACCGTCGTGGAGCGATTATTATTATTATTTCTGGCGCGATGGATACACATTACGACGACAACGGCTGGGGCGGTGGCGCATGCACGTGATTAGATTCATGAGAAACCGGTTGCCAATCAACGACTGCTGCATATTACAATCTTCTTTGCTTCTTCTTCGTCGTCTATTTGTGCTCATGTGTGTATCTGTGGTATATAAAACATAATATGTTCGCATTGTGTATCGCGGTGTACACTACAGCGGGGGCTACCGGATGCCCGGGTGCCGATGACCCTGCAATAAACCAAAATTCTATTCGTCGCCCGGGGGTCTACTGCTACAGCGATCGAAAGAATATTATAACATCTATAGTATACACATACAAGCGCGCGTAAATACGAGTTTGATTTTGGCAGGTTCTTGTTAACTTCGTTGCGTAAAAAGGCAAAAAAGTCGATAATATAGATTATAGACTCTTACGGTTATAAAATAATCTCGCTAATTGTTAATTCGTCTAGAGTTAATAGTTTTGTTTTTTAATACCT